TTTTACCTGCCCGCCTTCCCTCCCGCTGCGTCGACAGGGAGAGAAGAGCAGGTACATCTCAACCGCCTCGAGGACGCTTCTCTCGACGGCGCCGCCACGCCGAAAAGACTGGATGGAGGTCTTTTGGCGCGCTCCGTTTCTCGCTCAATAGACACTATATACGGGCGAGTGTTAAAGAAAAGGAACTCGGAAAATTTCAGAGCTCGGCGCTTGCAACTCTCAACTCCCGAGAAGTGTGAAAAGACAGCTCGGCAGCTTATTCAGAAGTAGAGCAATTTAAATCCAGCTCTATGATTATGTAAACGATTTTTTTCACGGCATTTTATCTCAATCTTAAATTTACGTTTTGTTAAACAAAAAGAAACAATTTTTTCATTACATATTCTTTTACGCAATTAACGCGTAGCTAAGTGCGTGGCAAAATTGTTGTTTAGCGCGCAGCTATTTTCTGAACAAAAACTTTATCTTCGTCGTTGTTATCTGTGCGGTCAGCGGTTCGATCAATCGCGACGGAGTTTCGGACTTGAAGACTATACGAAGGTTGCATGACGATGTCCGCAGAGAACGGCGGGACGACGCAACCCTTCGCAAACAATCGATTCCGCGCCAGTAAACTTGACACTGAGGATCCGGGTCAGCCCTTTGTCTATTTGCCACTAACTACTAAGTAATCGAATTTTGTAATACATCACTGTAGAACTTGGACCGTGAAACCATTAGGCATATATGTACACGTTATGTGTGTTTGTGCATATTTACGCAACCCCATGCATAGATTCATAAAGTCCGCGAATGCGGTACATACGACTGTGTGTGTACGTGTGTGCGCGAGTACATCTTCAGCTCAAATTCTTCATAATTGTTGAAATTCACATAAAATTTCGCAAGTAATTTTCTCATATTTTCGTTTCTTCGTTAATACGAAATTTAATTAATAATTTTTCAAACGTTTAGACTTTTTACTACAGAGAATATTTTTGTTATTTCAGTTTAGACGACGACTTTGACTCGACAACATCTATTTGACTTATAACTTGATAACATCTTTTAAATTATTATACACGTCGTCTTATTTGTGATGGTGATTATAGATTGAACACTGATGAAGACTAAAAATGTATAGTCTGTAATAATTTTTTCAAAATATAATACATCTGCATATCATCTAGCAAATTGTTCAGTAACGCCTCTTTCCTGGATACCAATTTTTGTTTTTATTTTTTCTGCTTTTTCGGAATAAAACTTGTCTTATGTTTGTGTGTCTTTCTCACAGACACGTTAATACAATAGCGCGTATCATCGACGTATATTTAGATAGACTGACAAAGGCGAGAATTTTTTTCAATAATAAAACTATCCCCGAGAAATTTAACACAGACGCCGTTCCCACTGTTCGAAACGTCTATCGAGAATTAACGGCGATGCTCGAACGTCACGCGTCAGACGTCTATTAAAACGTGACTCTTATCGATTAACCGAATTCATAATCAATTATGGTCGGGAACGCGGTCGGAGTACGGACGATCGATTATTATTACTGCGGTCCTCCTCTCTTCGCGCGACCCACTCGGCCCATCACTCACAGACCCGTCTTCGTCGTCCGTTTAAAACCAATCGAGACCATCGGTCGTAGTTATTAGCGCGTTGATTAAGTTTCGACGGGCGCGCGCGAGTTGCTCAAGTGTCATGTGATTTTATCGTCCGACGCGATGTAGAAGCGATAAGCGCCGCGCCGCGCCGGGGCAGCGGCAGCGGCAATTTTCTAGCGTCGGAATTAAGAATCGATCGTTATCTCTGATAAACAATTTTTTTACACGCAAAATGATACGTTCGCGCATGTTAAACGTATCATTACGCGTGCGTTTCAATCTGCGCGTTTTTATTTTACGAATTTAAATTATATCGATCGTATTTTATAAAGAATCGTGCGCGTAAAGAAAATTAACACACATTATATGAATCGGCAAATCGAATAATGATGCTTTGGAGAAATAAATGACTCTTTTTTTTTTTAGCGCGTATGCGCGCACGGAAACAAGCGTGAGCCGTGTGCTCTGACGTCGCGCCGATTAGATTCTGTTTCGCCGCTTGTGTGTTATATATTTGCATCTCGAGTTCGCGAGATAAGCGCGCACACTTGCGCGCACTTCGCTCGAAATCGCGATTGCAGACACGAAATACCGGAGCCCGCACATGCACGCGGCATTCCGCTGATTAGCCGACGAGCAGGCAGACTAATTACCGAAATATCGGGTGCAACACGCGAGTATTGCCTCGTACGTCAACATTAATGTGTAATAATGGCCGGTGCCGTCCGTGGATGCGGTGTGCGGCCGTTTCCGATATACGCACCGTGCGTAAAGCGCGCGCGGCCAGAGAGGGAGGAGAACTGCGAGCGACGATGACACGAACGGGNTTAATTGTACTTCCTCTGCGCGCGAGCTAACCCCATGGACGGTTGGCGGAGGTAAAGACGAAGGGGAGGGAAGGAGGAAGGAAGGAAGGTAGGTAGGTAGAGGAGGAAGACAATGTGACGGATGATTACGTGTCAAAACGCGACGTGAGCGGAGCGGATCGCGGCCCGACATGATTGCGATTCGCATAGCCGGAGCTTATGTTGCCGCGATCGGCAACACGGTATCTTCTCTCTACGCGCTGTAGCACAGGCTGATAAACGAGCCTGTGCTGTTGCAAATTACTTTATCGCAACTGAATTTTCGCCGCGTTTTCCACCCCCATCCCAACCCGGGCTTTTATGATAAACGCGTCCCTTCGGCGATGTATTTCAGAAGACGTCACTCAGCCAAAGTGCGCATCGACTAATTGTGAAAAATACAAAAAAAAAAAAAAATTAAAACACGACGCGATCGAAAATAACATTTACATATAATTTTCCGCGAGAGAATTTCGATTTTCTATCGTTTAGCGTTTTTATTGGGACGCGATTTGTTGCAATATCTTTCTGCTTTTATTTGAGAACGAAAGCAAACACATCGCGTGTATTCAACATTAGTGGGAGCACAATTGCTTCTTGAAAATGTGATGTTTCTCGGGTAAACAAAGAAGACAGAAAACGAATGCGAGCCCCGGAAGCTATTTCACCGCCGTTTTCGCTCGGGCAATCCCGCAATCGACCCCGGCCGGAGGCGATTGGCGACGCACACCGCCGCCGGATGTCGACGATTAGAATACACACAAAGTACACCTAAAATACGGGATGTTCTCCCGTAGCAATTCTCCTCTATCGATCTTATCATCGGGGTCAACTATCGCGACTGGAGATAATAACGCGGGCGAGAGCGCGAGTGCAAACAAAAGCGAAAAGCCGTGTGTCTATCTCGCGTTTCCCCCCCGACCCAGGTCCGGCGCGGGCAATCAATTACGAAATTGCTGGAGTCAGGCGGTTTTGACTGGGCCGCGCTGGGTAATTTATCAGATTAATCGCGGAGGAAGTGATTCCTGATCGGATGGTGATGGGACCAACGCGGCGAGAGAACCGAGCGAGTTCCATATGTCAGGAAGCGACCAGGTGTCGAGAGAACGCGGGGGAGAGAAAGGGGACGGAAGGGACTATATGCGCAACGTGTGTCACGTTGAAAAGGGATGGCGAATCCGCGCGCACACCTACGCGGGACACGCGATATCGAGACCAGCTGTCGATCGGAGCTGGTATACTCTCCGAGTATATCGCGCGGTCCCGGGATACGCGCCGTTGCACATATTCGTTTGGGGAAAACGCGGAGACTCGAAGAGCGGGCGACATAAAGACGACGCTCCCCCCGACGGGGGACTCCGCGTCGCGTCCGCAATTTCGTCGTTCGTGCGCCATTTTCGCGTGTGTTATCTCGCCGAGATGAGAAAACGCAACGAGCAAACCGGAGAGAAACGCAATAACGTTTCGCAGTATTCCGACAAGAGGCGCGATGTGGCACGCGTTGCGTTAATACGATATCTCGAAAATGGTTTGCATTTATGTACATACGTCTGTTGGCGCGGCGTTGATAATGGAAACAAAGCGAACACATGTTCTTCGGTAACAATATAAATAAACGTAAAACCATCGCATGTATTTGACGATCGGTGCAAAGACCTCTTAAAAAAAAACAAAAAAAAAGCGTGTTTAACGGCACGTAATTACAAATCGCGCAATTATTATATTAAATACGCGATCAACTCTGCTCATGATATGCTTTACAATCTAATTGTCGATACTCCAATTTCGGGTGCGCGGCCAAACTGCAGTGATTGATTATTATCATAACAGCAATGTATAATATTTTTCATCGCTGATCCCGCGCTAATGACTCGCGCAATAGAATCTCGCGGCCGTACAAAACGCGCGAGTAGAGAACTATGCGCGCACACGGCAGTGAGTTCGCGGGACGAACAAAACTATATGTGATTTCCGAGGCGCGTTCGAAGTTCGTGTGTGCGTGTGTAATACCGAGTGGGTGGATTGAAACTCAATTATTGGTCGTGTTAACGGGCCGACACCGCATCATCCATTATTTTCGGATTTTGCTCGTGCGACCAGGCACATAAATTACACCGCAGAGTTCATCATCAAATATACATATATTATCTCGCCGCATATTCTGCTCCGGCAAACATCATTCTTCCCTGAAATCCATAGTATCTTCCCACCTCTCTCGATTTGTGTTCGCGTTAACTCCGTCCCCACCCCGTTAACATTAAAATGTATAATCGCATACATATATATCGATGATTACGAATCTAACAGATTTGCCACAAATTATATTACGTACTCTTGTTTCTCTTTTCTGTGAATTTTCTTCGTTTTGCGCACACAATGAGAAAAACAAAAATCTCTGATATTTATTAATCTGCAATAAAATTTCTTTTGAGTCTTATGAGTCGCGTCAGACAGAAAAATTCACACAAGAGAGAGTTACACGCTCGTGACAAATTTACATGATAATTCAATAAGCAATTTTCGGAATTATGAAGGAGAGAAAAATGATATACTAAAGTGCGCTTACCTTTTGGGCTTTACAAGCGGCAGCCAACGGCAGAACGTCGTGAGGATGTGCGGCGTGGCGATCGCGAAGACACAGAGCGCATATCGCGATTTTGCAAAGAGCGCAGTACAAGGTCACCGCTTCGCCATTGTGATCGTTACAGACCGGCGTGCCCTCGGGTCGGGATCCCTTGCCTCCGCTCGATTGCCAGCTGCCTCTTGGTGGTCCCAGATTGTGGGCCGCAAGCGGGCCCCTCTTTGGATGACAGGACTCTCTGCATGCGTCGCAATATAAAACCTGAAAGAACAATCGATTTCTCTCTGTCTGTTCGTATTTTGTAAGGGAAATAATAAACTGCGACGGAGCAATATATATTCGTTTTCCGATCGCATCGATATTCACGATATCGAATGCCTAAAGAAACAGCCCGTCGCTGTAATACCGATCATTCCTGAATAATCTCCACCTTTTTTTGCAATCATATTTTTATCAGGATATATTAAAAATTTGAAGAAAGAAAGAGAAAGAATATGTAAATTTTAATTCGTTGAAACATTTTCTTATAATTTATATTGACATTGCGGCGATCACGATGCGGCTGTGTGTATGTGCGTCAAACAATTAAATAAACACAAGTTTGGTTTTTCGTTTCTATAAAGGTATTATTCCGTGCCATCAATATTCCTCTTTCGCTTGTTCGATATTTCCTTTTCGGAAATAATATCATTTTTGGTCATCGATAGAGACAAAGAGAGAAAAAGAGAGACAGACAGACAAAGAGAGCAGGTATTGTCGCGCGAAAATGTTGTCGGTTACGAATAAAATTGCAGCCACCATCGATTCCCACCCTTTTTTCCTCGCAAAGCGAGAAACAACCGGCGCGCGGAGCGGGTGCGAGTGTAAAATCACGGAAAAAATATATCCGCCACTTGTCGCGGTACACCCGGAGGGAGTGGGTGGGAGAGGAGAGGGGTCGAAAATGAAATTTAACACTTCGTAGGAAGGCGTGTGTGCAAGAGGGAGACGAGACGCGCGCGAGTGTGCGATTGGCGTATATATGTTGTGTCGCACAACGAGATATTTCATGCGACGTGCCACTCTCCGAAACGCGGTAACTCGATCTTTTCAAACAGAGAACGCCGAACAATATAAAATCAATCTCTTTCTCTTTCGCTCTTTGTGAATGTCAATGAGATTGCGGTGACACATTATGCGAACGTATCGCTCGAATCCGGAACTGCGACATTGTCGGCAATTTCTTTTAGTCTTGCGAAAAAGAATTAAAACGGTTCGCAAAAAATGCGAGTTTTTTATCTACAAAAAAATATATAAAAAATAACCAAATATACAAAAACCGCGTACGACGTTAACGTAAAAGAGACGTAAAAATTATAATATTCATATTTTTATAAATCATTTTTAGTAATATCGTATTTTTCTTACAAACTATTTTTATCTCTTCAACAACAAAAAATTGGAGTTTTTCAAGAGTGAAACGAGATAACGAGTATACTCTTCACATTGTCTCCTCTCCGTGAGGAATAGAAAAGCGAGATAAAGATACGAAGACATAAACAAACACAAATGTTTCTGCTTTTCCACATGTGTGCGTTGAAACTGTTTTTTAAAATTATCAGAAACTGTTTACGCTCTCGGTGTTTAAATAAAGTTTCTGTGTTTTGATGACGTTTGTGTTTGTATTTTAAAATGAGGGAAAAAAGAGAGAAATTTCGCCTAGAGAGAGTGAGATCACCGGCTTTTTCCGGAGAGCGACATCACCATAACCCTCGATATTAATGTCGATATAGACGCGCGGAGGCTTCTCGTAGACGAGAGCGTCTCTAGTGCGCTCTCGTAGCGCGAAGAGAAAAGTTATGAAGTAGACTTCGAGGAAGAGAGAACGAGGGAGCGCGCGGGGGAGAGAAGTTAACGAGTCTCTGGATGAGGAAAGCACACAAGAGAAATAAACACGGTTGATGCCGCGGTCGTTAAGAACGGTAGCCTTGGGAACTTTTTCCGATGCCGAGCTTACGATGCGATTGAAGGTTTTTGTAAGACGCGCGAGCGACAAAAATATATACACACACATCGAATAAGAGAAACAACAGAAGAGATACAGATTAAAACGCATAAAATTCTTCTTTTTTTGCAATTATATCGTATTGTTTTCCTGAAACATTGCTTTGTGTGAAAAATTCCCGGACGGACAATTTAAAAATTAAAGTTGCGATATATTCCGTTTGATTATATCGTTGAACATTTCCTTTTTCCGCGTGTGTCAATTAATACGTATCTCAACGTAACGAGTCGGGTTCATTTGTTATTTACTTAAAACTTTGCCCGTTACGACAAAGTTCTCAATTCTAGTTAGACGTTTACGACATCCGCAGCCGTAAAGGGTTAAATCAACATTGATGCGCCGACAACCCCAATTACCTCTCTCGGTCTTAATTTAATGGGGATGACTATTTAATTAGAAATTCTTAATCTCTCCCGCGGGCCGGGGCGTGCACCTCTTATCCCTCTACTTTCTCATTAGAACTCTTATTCAACCCCTCCCGTTCGCTCGTCAAGCTTCTAATCTCACGCTAAATCTGACGCGTTCCGTTCCTGCCGTTCCGGGAAAATCACGTTCACGATGCGACAACGCATTATACGCTCAACCTCTTGGGTTATCAACCGCTCTGTGGATTAAGTATCTTTCTCCCTCTCTCCTCTCTCTCTCTCTATATATAATATATATGTACATATGTATATATAATCTCTCTCTTTATATATATATATATATATGTAATCACGCGCTAACCTCGCACTGTTCGCACGCGACGGTGGCATCGCGCGGCTCTCCCTCGCACATCTGGCACTGAAGCCGCGCATTTCGCGACTCCTGGTATTTCTCGACGATGTGCTGCATCGCCCGGTACTTGGGCAAATTGTGGGCACCGCCCTCGTCGAAGTAGACGGTCTTCTGGCAAACGGGACACGAGAGACAGAGAGTGCCGCCGGACGGCGGGAATCCGCCGTTGCCCGGCGTGCCGACGTAGCTGCCGGGTCGCGAGCTGGTGGACGTGCTGCTGCAGACCACGCCGGAATCGGTCTCGGACAGAATCGACAGCTTGTCGGCTTCCTGATCGGATCCGGGCGCGTTCGACGAGTCGGCGGTGGACTCGGGCGGCGAATCCGGCGGCGCTTGCAGATTCACCGCGCAGGCCAGACACAACGCGTGCCAGCACGGCAACAATACCGGCTCGACAAAAAGCTCCTTGCAACTGGGACATCGTAGTTCGTCCTCCATCGCGGATGCACCGGTGGCGCGTCGTCTGACGGCGATCGTTCTGGAGCAATCTGCGGATTGTTGTTCCTCGTGGATCTTCTCGAGCCGCTGCGGCAGCTCGAATCTCCTCGGTCGGCTAGTCTGCAGGATTCCGTCAGGATGGCGAACGCAGAACCGGTGTTGCAGCAGCGTCAGAAGGTCCCTCGGCGCGCTGAATCTCCTTTCACCGATTACACCGCTCCGGATCGCTCGCTCCGAGGTCGAGTGCGCCTCGCGGTAGGTAGGTAGGAAATTCCTTGGTACGTTTTCTTTGCGGCGGATACGATCCGGTTTAAGAAAGGATCATCCGAGAAAATGTTTTCGTTGAATAAGTCAAGTGGGGACCACAATGTTCCTTACGTAAAATGTTATTTCCTCGAGAAAATACGTGCTTTTTGGACCCAAAGACACAATAATCTTGTAGTAGTAGTAGTTCTCCCGTCGGAAAATATGAATGGATCTCTGTGTTTGAGCGACGATCGTGCGAAAAAAAACGTTTCGGAACACACGCGAAGAATTCTCGATTCTTTTCCGAGAATCGATCGGGGAATCTCAGAGATCGCACGCGCTTCTTCCCGGTCTCATCACACTGTAAAACAAACTCCACAGATCACGCGCGATAATTTCGCCGAAGCAAGTCAATCACGCTGAGAAAAAAAAATCCCTTTGTTTGTTCATCGGCGCGCGTGCTGACGATCCATCGTGTTTTCGGACCGCGACGCACCTTGCTGACACGCGCAAAAATGCAAAACTTTTTCACAGGTTTCAGCGGGAACGTGTCATCTGTCGATCGCGCGCATCGCGGGCTTTTTGCATTTTCGGAGCAAACGCACGTTCGCGCGCGCACGTCGCAATGATCTTCCGCGTGATCGAGAAACTCGAGATTCCGAGGTCGCGAACGATAAAACGACTCGGTTTTCGATAAGTGTAGTCGGCGCACGTACGCGTTTCCGCGCGAGAACTCGTGAGCACCGAGGAACCCGCTCGTCAGAGAAACAGCACGCAGCTTGCAAGCCGTCACCGGGTTGACTGACTCCCGGCGCCGAGTCAAAGAACCGTCGCGCACCGCGGCCACGCACACTCAGGAGCGTGATGGTACGAGGGAACGGAAGGCGCCGTGTACGGGAACAGGGGTTCCCAAACTTGTTGCTATATCGCGCGAGTCTTTCCCCCGAGAGGTAGATATATTTTAATATCATTTAATTAAAATATCTCGTTTTCACATTATGTGTGTAAATTAAAATAAAGTTGACACATAATGGAAAACAAATTTGAAATTTAAAATAAATTAGTAATCAACAAGTAATCTTTTAGTATCTATTAGCAATAAAAAAAAAACAAGTAATCTTTTATTCAATAACATGGATCTCTTTCTCTCTCTTTTCTCTCTCCTCTCGATAAAATATGAAAAAAATTACTCCGTGGTGTATAAAAAACTGATATAAAATTATAATTAAATTATATCGTGTCTATATTTATCCTTGTAAATATACTGTTAAGCCGTATTATAGAAGATGTGTTGTCTTATTTTTATCTCATCTTTTAACGAGAATCGCTTCTCGATGCAAGACTGATTTTCACATAACTATGTTATTGCGAAATTATCCACGCCGTATGGAACCGGTTTCACGCTCTGAACGCATATCTCAGGGACGCGCCTACGTAAGAAACTTATACATCGAGGCCATTCGCGAATCCGAACACAAAAGACTTCATCTAAAGCAGATTTGCAAGCGGCCGAAAATATCTTCTAATCAAATCAGAGAATCCATACGCTAATTATAATTTTGATTATTTTATTTATATAAATTTCATTGTTTTAAACATAATTGTATCTTTGCTCTGATTTCTGTGTTAACGCTCTTAAAAAAAAACTAAAAAAATCAAGGAAGCGAAGCAGAGCCAATGTGAGTCTGAGACACAGATGTTGGTGTGTAGAAAATTCAGACTTTATTTAATTCTGTGTCTTAGACTCACATCGGCTCTGTCACTTCATTGATGTTTTTGGACAAATTTGGAGCCTCTACCATACTTCATTAAAAAAACTAAAACTTATTTTCAATTTTCAAGAAATTTTTCAAGAGAGACAATTTTACACGAACACTCTTTTCAGAGAAACCGCAGTTTTTTGTTTGACCTAAACAAAAATCATTGCTTCAACAAAATTCAAATTTGTTCATCAAAGATATAAATTTGTTCTGTCAACAAAATTATATCTTTGATGACAACCGAAGATATATGCTACAACTTCTAACAAATCGCAAATAACTTTGCGACAATACAGTGTGACGTCTCTCGACAGGAATATCTCGCTTACGTGTAAGATAATAAAACAGGAGAGGATGATCTCGCGCGCGCGCGCGCGAGGGAAGTCTGTCGTGTCGCGTAGACGCGAGAACACGCCGGTTTTCTCTGGGGAGGAGGGGAGAAAAATGCGCTACAATGGGACGAGGGTTGCGTGAAAGAGCGGCGAGAGAATCCCGCGCGCGCGGGATATATAAAATATCGCAGAGCCAGGTGCAACGCGCGCGATCGGCCACGCAGCCGGCCGCGTGATCGTTCCGCGTTACAAGCGTCTCCGCGCGCTCCGAAACTTTTCTTCCTCAATCAAACCGGCGTCGGATTCGTTCGCGCGGGTTGAACGACCTCGATGAAATAAGACGCGCGGGGGCAAAACTTCCGTGAAATCCTGCTATAAATGTGCCCCGGTGTGTAATGCAAAACCCTCTTCCTCCCTTCTCGGGTTCTCGTGCACGACGAGGACGTCCGGTGTGGACGCTCTCTCGCAATCCCCCCAGCCGAGGGGATAACGAAACTTACCCCCGCTAATATCACGAAAACCGCGCGCCACCGGATCAAAACCGCGCGGCATCGAAATTGTTTACCGGGCACCGTGCCAGCGCTATTAAGCGATCGTTTATTTATATCCTCGCTCGACCACGTGTACGGGGCGTGTCTATACCTTTAAAATACTACTGCTCCTGATACCACAACGAGCGCGTGGATTATTGATGGCGAGATTAAGAGCGTTCTGCTTAGAAAGCCGACCGCGAAATGCATTAGGTCCAATAAAATATTAACGTGCGCGGTGTAAATAATATAGTTTGAGCTTTATGCGAAATGTTTCGCGAAATTACACGGTCGGTTTAAACACAGTGTTTTCAGTGCGTAATTGCGTGGATCTTCAAAAAGGATCGGGGAGAGATGTTTCCTCGAGAACATCCTTTTCTGTGTAAAAGTTTCAATTAAAAAATCATAAATTGTCTCTGGCAAATAATAAAACACGCACGCAAATGTAACGATGAAATTTCGTTTGAATAAAAATTGCTGACTGACTTTATAAATAAAGTCGCGCGCGAGGGGGAAATATTTCTGTCGCGTATTATATACTTTCGCAGTTAAGTGTAATGCGCGTTTCGCGTTATCTCTCACAAAGTTATTGCCGCGTTTTCTTTGTTCAATGATAAATTGGATTATGTCTGCCGCGTAACTGCCAATTACTCTTCGACCATTCGACCGTCCGACTTCGTACACGCTCATACGTTCGCTATACAACCGAGGAATGTAGACACGGTCATTTGTCATCGCGAGAAACCTCGACGAAACAATATCTACGTCGTCGTCATCGTCGTTGCCGTTTCTTTCGATTCTACGAGAACTCGCACGAGAGAAAGAGAGAGATCGCGTCGAGTGCTTCTGGGTCACGTGGCATTAAAAAAAAATATCCTCGACATAACGAGTACGCGATCGTACTTTTCTCTTCAATTTTATGAGAATTTTATTTTTAACAAAATTAATCTAAGGATTTTAGATTATATTTTCAATAATTAAAAGAGATAATTTACAAATAAATAACAAATATAAATATTTGTAATTGTCAAAAACACATTTATATTATTTTTGTAATCGTAAAAAAAAAAAAAAAAAGATATAAGATCGCGACGAAAATTTGTTGCAGCGCGAAACGAATGGTTGGAAAGGCGTTAATGTGACAGCCGGAATATGTTGAAAACTTGTAAGCCGCGAGAAAAAGAATTATCAGTAATAACACCGCTGCTGTTGAAACAAGTTAATTGATTTTTACGGTTCTACGTAAGTGCGCTGTTTGTCAGGAAGTGAAACCGACTCGCTGACACGGTCATTTGTCACTTGAGAAAAAAATTTTATATATTGAAACCGCGCTACACAAATAGTCCCGATAACTCGTAAAATGCGCGATATTTTATTTTGCTCGTGTGCAATAAAATGCGTTTCTATTTGGTGTCGTATTTAACAACAAACAATGAATATCTCACTTTCGAGTAATTAATGTAATGAATCGAGTAACGCACACACATGTATGCATCATGGGTTCCGGTTTTTTTTTTTTTTTTTTATTTTACACTTCGCACTGCTGTTATTGTGCACTTTTGTTTCATGATGTTTGTAAGCCGTTATAATTGTTTTACTACTTGAAACGTTTGGAATAAGCTTCATATTTTCCGCACCAGATGACATACGTGTACGGGCGCGTCGATACATATTCATACAGCGCGATCTTGCAAATCTCGCGCGGCCATCTTGAACTTTGGCGCCGAAACGATGAATTGATCTGCATTCAACAGATATAATTAACTCGATAATTGAGACATTTTACAGGCTTACTGCCTGTGTGCGAATGATATATGCTTTCGAATTTGTGATAGATCGAAAGAACAAGCCGATCGACGGACAACAATCGCTAAGTAATGTCTCAACTGTGGAGTTCGTTGAGTGCGATGAATTACTGCAATTTGTATGGAAACAAACAAATTTTTACACGACTACTTACTTTTCAGTAGCAAATACTCGTGAAGTTGTACACCAGACGGTTTTCTGTTGGTCCAACGACGAAACCACATCGGCAAAGTGGACTCGACTGCGGAGCGGCGTCGTCACCCACTGTCACGTCTCGATGCGGTCCTAATTTCTGACTCCGAATCGTCCCGATTCTCGAATTACACACTTCCGTACGCGAACTGCACACTGAATTACACAACGCACACGTACGCGAGCACAAAACGCGTATTATTTACGCAAAACTTCGGTCTCCGCACGACGCGACTGGAAACGCGACGCGCACAGTCAAGCGACTATTTGAAACTTCGAGAATCGCAATTTCCATATCGAAAGTAGTTCGTCGAGTTGGCGGGTGGGGCGCCACTTGCCGACAGCAGCGCTCCGAACTCCGACAATCGAAACACGTAACCTAACCTTTACGAGCTCGCAGGTATGATCAATTAAATTTTTTGACATGTTCGTTTGTTATAATCCAACGTGATTATTTTTCCCAATAAATGTAAAATAAAGAGATATAACTAATGTTACATGAATTTAGTGTATGTAACACTTGAACAAATATGTCCATATAAGTGAATAAAAAACAAAAGTACATAATTATAAAATTAATATAATTACAATGTGGGAAAAATTGTAACTACTGAATGACAATTGTGTTTATTATATAAATAATAAAAGTATTGAAAATTTTGAATGAGGAAAAGTAGAATATCAATTAATTGTACATCTATTAATTTATCACATCATTAATTCAAGCATGCACATGTGATTGCACTTTTGCAATATGATTACTTCAGTTAAAACATTTATATATATATATATATAAACATTTTGTAATTTTATTATATTGCTCAAAATAATTCATGACTCGCGTCAATATCAATTACTCGATTAATAATTAAGTAACTGTGATTAATTTATAATCATCATTATTTCATTATTTACAAATCTCCAATAATCGCAATATGAATAAAAAATAATATGTTCAATCACAGAACCATAGTCTATGGCCGTTCCTGAGACATTTTGCTGCTGATAAAATATACTATACTCGTTCTCGTTCATATCTCGTCGCAAAATAGCACACAAACGTATTGCAAAATATTGCGTCACGCGATTTCGTGTCGCCTGAGTAGGTACGGTTATGTTTGATTATCTTACCACAACAACGTGATAAAGATTGTCAAGATATAATGTCGTTCTAATACTCAACAACCTGCGTCTCAAACCATACAGACACATTTTTCCTCTATGATGATTTTTAAGCACGGTTTTACGTTTGTTTCTTAACATTTTATTGTTTCAATTACGTGCAATTTCATCGAAGTTTAATGTTCACGTTTGGTGAGAGAGAAAGAAAGAGAGAAATAGAAATCTGTTACAATGTAAGTATAAGTTCATCACGAGTGCTTATGTACAGAGTAGTATGTAAATATTCTGTACAATACGTACCACTGCGTTTGTTATTACATAATAATCACGTGCGAATAAAATAGAGAATATTTAATTATTTTAAATCGAATGTTTTTTCTCTCCACGCGCATAAATTTTATTTTGTTTTGGAAACATTTAAATAAACTCATAAAAGCCTGGAGTTCATAGTTTTTGATCGTCTTAATCAATTTCTTTCGCGTGTGTACATTAAAAGTACTTTGGTTTATGCCATTAAATGTTACCACATTACACCCGTTAGCAAATTCTCGCAAAAAAAAATCGTGAAATTAGATAATGAACTAAAATGACATCTCAGCTTGATGCACATGTCTTATATAATGAAATATCAAACGTCGCAGATATTCAAACTTAAATTCAGACAATCAATTATGTTTCTGTAGTACGTATAATCCGAATCTAACATTGTATATATAATGACGACGAACATAATTACGTCTCTGACCAAGAGAACCGCACCGAAATTTTATTACTTATGTCGTCACGGATCTACATCCGCAAGGTTAGTACATTTACAAAATGTATACACTTTTTTTCTATTTATATTATTCTAGTGTGTATACTTTGCAAACTTTCAAAGAAAATAAAAACTACAGTCGTTTTGATGATATCAAACTGAGTTCCAACAAAATATCCTCTAATATAGTTGTTTTTCTGTTTCAAAAAAGAAAACACATCAATAATTTACACAGAAAGATACAATTTAATATAAAAATATTTAATAACAATATTTTATATTTACAAATTTAAATAGTACCAATCAATATGGCGCGTACGATCTGGTGATTGTTGGCGGTGGTATCGTCGGGTGTGCCACCGCCCGCGAAGTAATTATGAGACATCCGAAAATGAAAATAGCTATTGTGGAAAAAGAACCTGGTCTAGCTTTTCATCAAACGGGGCACAACAGCGGCGTAATTCATTGCGGCATTTATTATAAACCTGAAAGTATGAAGGTAAATTCACTGAGAGAGAGAGAACTCTCTCTGATAGAGAGTCATTGTCTCTCTCAATGTGATAAAAAATCTATTTGCAGGCGAAGCTTTGTGTAGAAGGAATGAAGCTTTCATATGAGTATCTCTGTAAAAAGAACATACCTCACAAGAAGATCGGAAAGCTGATCGTTGCGCAAAATCCAGATCAAGTCAAAAGACTAGACGAGCTTTTCAGTCGAGGTACAAAGAACAATGTACCGGATCTTCAGATCGTTGAAAAAGATTGCATATCGAAATACGAACCTAAGTGTCAGGTAACAAAATGCAAACGCGGAAGAAAGTAAATGTAAACAAGTAAATGGTTTCAAAATAGTTCGTTGTTTAATCAGGGAGAAAAAGCTATATGGTCACCGTGGACCGGTATAGTCGATTGGGCGGTCGTGTGTAAGTCGTTCGCCGAGGATTTTCAGAAAATGGGAGGTGACATTTTTCTCAATTTCGAAGTAACTGGCTTCACAGAAATGACGGAATCGACAAAGCAACTAGAACTTTCGCCCATAGTCGTCCAATCCAAAAAACGAGTAAGATTCTCTTCTCACATGTTTCATTGTACACGCTGTGACATTTGTTGTCCATTGTTTTGTTTCCCATGAAGTGCATACCGACGAAATACGCGCTCACATGCGCTGGTTTGCATTCGGACCGTTTGGCAGTGATGACAGGCTGCGATCTGAGTCCGCGGATAATACCCTTTCGCGGCGAGTATCTTCTTCTGAACGAAAACAAGAAGCATCTCAGCACGACCAATGTGTATCCGGTACCTGATCCCAGATTTCCATTTCTCGGTGTACATTTCACACCCAGAATGAACAGCGACATCTGGCTGGGTCCCAACGCTGTTCTCGCGCTCGCAAGAGAAGGTTACAGGTAACGATTTAAAAAAAAAAAAAAAACAAACTCTAGACTTACATAAAATTTGTATATAATAAACTTTTTTTTAGCTGGTTCAACATTAATATAAAAGACTGCGTAGAAATGGCAAAATTTCCTGGTTTATACAAGCTGTGCTTTCGATATTTCCTGCCAGGCTGCAACGAGACTATAAAGTCGATTTTTTATCCTCTAGCAGTGAGAGATCTCCAAAAGTTTATTCCCGAAATTTCATACAGAGACGTAAGAAGGTCAGTAGTTTTTGTTAAATCCACGAATGTCTGCTTTTACAAACTTATCGTCTCATATTTTGTATGACAGAGGACCAGCTGGCGTGAGAGCACAAGCGCTAGATAAGAATGGCAATCTAGTCGATGATTTTGTTTTTGACAAAGGTATCGGCGTAATAGGCAGCAGAGTGTTGCACTGTCGAAATGCGCCGTCGCCTGCTGCGACTAGTAGTTTATCAATAGCAAAACACATCGCCAATAAGCTCGACACCGACTTCAAACTGTAACATATACATCTTGGCATAAATACTTTACATATTAAACCAAAACTAAGCCAAATATGCATTTAAAAGAAATTTTATGTAAAGAAGCTATTTTTATTTCAAAAATATATTTTTACAATGATGTTTGATTTTTGATACATATCTCTGGAATACAATATCTCTGAAAAATATTGCGTGATAAGATAACAAAATGTAATGTAAACGTACAAGATACTGTGCTTTTTAGCGTCATTCGTAACATAAATCTAACAAAACATTTTTAAAAAGCAATTTTATAAAAATCTTGATAATTAATGTTTAAAGTCAATCGATCTATGTAATACATTTTTTTTTTATCATAATCGCTGTAAAATATGTGATAAAAAAATATTATTTTATCAAACATTATTTTTTTATGTGTGGTATTTAACAAAATATTTTCAATATGGAAATTTAAGAACGTAACGATTGTAGATGAAAACAGTATAAACAAGTATATACAGGAATATACAATACCTCTTCAAGCATACATAAATTTGATGCAAATTTGTGACCTTTGTATTTGATTTTTTAATCCGAAATATTTTTAAATAATTTTAAATCTATTTCCTGATATCATGAGACGTGTTGTAGCAAAATCCAGTGCTGCTGTGAGATGATATCCCATATTTGAAATTACAACACCATATTCGCTCAATGCAAACATTGAATACACTAAAATTTATATAAATGGCCTATAGCAAGAGAACAACATTGTAATCAATGTTACAATAACAAATTGATAAACTTACCTAAAGGTTCACAGTATTTATTGTGTCTATAAAAGAAATAACACGCTACTGCTATAGAAATCACATTCGACATCATTGATCTTCGTTTCCACTTCAAAGAAGCATCGTTAAAGTCTTTTGCAACATTTAGACATCTTCTCATAATGTAATACGCTAAGAACATGTGTATAAATGACGTCAGCAAAAAAGTTATAAAAGACATCTTATGAAATGCTGTGGAAGAAAAAGAACCGTTAGCATATATTCATGTTATTTATAATTGTATTCATCTACAAAAGTTTTAAACGCATGTGAGTTTACTTTACCGTAACTTTCGTCGGAAGTCCAGAAGCTCAATGTTACCAGAGATGTGTTTTCAATGGCATACATAACGAGCGCAATATTGGCTAAATATTGAGCCCATTTGTAGACGTGATCTCTGTAATATTGATAATACATCTTAAGTATTAAAGTTCGCACTATCGCTTGCAACGCTATAGCAGTCTTCCAGATATCTCTCTGAGGTTTGTAGTGACCAATGGCTGCGGAGACAGAGGGCAAGAAATTGTACACCTGTAAAAATTGTTTACGTCACACAAAGACCACAAACTGCGTAACCTAACACTTGTATCACAATTGTCTCATTATTTTATCATGTTAAATTTCTTACATAATTATATCGTTATTACATTTCTTTCTAAATTATAAAAAAATGTTTGCGCCAGCATCCACCATAAAAAGCTGTATTCGAAACTAAAATCATAAGAGATTTCAGTTTCTTGATTCCATATTGTTTTTTTTTTTTTTTTTAATTGCAACAATGTACAACATGACTGATAATTTTGCACCTGACAATGAGTGGAAGTAGAATGCTCGAAATTATACAGGACCGACCAGACGACGCAGAAGATGAACGCCAGGAACGGCAGTGACACGGTAAACCATGCCACTTTGGAAAACGGCACAACGACACGAGCCTTCGACATGTCCTCCTCCTCCACCAAAGGAATATACTCTGACCCTAATCTAAGCTTGCTCATGGTATTACGTCCGCAGTTTTTCGCTACGTCATAATCCGCGTGCGACACGCGACGACGAAGGTTAACACGCTAATCTGATAAACTCGACTTTTAACACGCGCATTATCCGTATTTCAACGCTGTTTCTTCCGAACGTTTTTATACGCGAAACGATCGCGCGATTCGCATCTTGATCTAAATACCAAGTGATCGCGTTTGACGACCACGGCGAGTTCGCGGGACTCGCTCTCCGATGAACAATCCGACATCATGCTCGGCGTATTGAGGTTAGGATTGTAAAATCGATCGGACGTGAACGGAGCTTTGTGTGTCTACAAAAATATTTTTGACGCAGTGCCGTTGCCGCAACGTTAACGTCACCGTGACGATCTTCGCACGTGAGATCCAAAGCGTCAATAAACGCGCTCAAGTTACCGACATGGAGAAAGAGACGTGCTGTCTGTCGGCAAGTTTATCTTCTTATTACGCTTTGTAGTAACGCACGTCACCGCTAGAGAGCGCCTGCCTATCTGTAACTTCCTCCTGTTTCTTCAACACATACGTCGTTACAAGTGTGCGAGCGGAATTGCTGTTTTCGTGTAATTCTTGTTGTTGTAAACGTAAGTTTGTTGCAAATATATTTGCAATACCATTGTTGTTCCGATTAAAACGATCGCGCGCGAAAAGTCCCACGTGTCGCTGTGTTTTTCATATTTCGCGTCAGTGATCGCAGAACGCGATAACAGTCCGTGAATGAGATTTCTTATATTGAGGTTATGTGTGCGTTAAACATTGCAAATATTCTATAATACAATTCATCGCGTCTCTGGCGATGAATGCCAATGACAAATAATGCGAGGTTAAATTGATTTTTTTCTACATCGTTGGCACGAGCGGCGTATCTTCGAGGACACAAACATGTGAGTTTTATTATTATTATTATTATTACTTTTTATCTTCAAATATCGATCGACAATACGAAACAGTTTCGCAAACTAGTATCAGGTTCTGATACTCGAATGGACTTGAATTAACATTTATAAAATTTACATAGTAGATTTAACATTTATAAAATTTACATAGTAGATTTTCTTTTTTTTTCTCTGAGATGTTTGCTCGCGTATCAAGAAAACTGTTACGTATTGTAACAGCAAACGATATCGCGCTCGATATCGGCAAAACGTTCTTCTTGTCTGTACGTAGCAGTATTACGTTCATATACACGCGTATCAAAGCCACTTGATTTTACAATAGACGTATCGAACAGCGTCGATATCCTGATATCTCGTGTCTCGGTATGCAAAGTCTTTCCTGGAAATAATCGCAATAAAAGATACCGATAGCGTCTTTCTCAAACTACATGTAAGATGTTTCAAGTCTGAATAATTGAATTTGTGCTTTTAAATTAATATTACAATATTACAGAACAATTAAGAGAAAATTAAATATATCAATATATATATATATTATATCAATTATTGAAAAGTACAATTTTAGAAATTGTATTTGATATCAATATATATATATATATACATATATATATATATATATATATTATATCAATTATTGAAAAGTACAATTTTAGAAATCGTATTTGATAAAAAATTACGGTAATTGATTCTTATCATGCGCGTTCTGTGTCGTCCTGTAACAGAAGTTACGTATGGTAATTATATTGGAAGAGAGAGAGAAAATGTAATTATATGCATCCTCTCACATCTACGAGAGAAAATTCAATTATCATCGCTGTTAGTAGTCCGAAGTATATTATGCAATATTTTAAAATTAAAAGTTCAGAAATATATGTGCGAGCTTGTGCGCGAGAAACATATAGAAATTGATTTGTGATTATTTAAAAATTATGTATTAAATATCTATTAATAGGATATATAAGTTCTTTGTGAGGTTCTCAGTGTGTCATAATTGTGAATGTTGAACGTGTCACGTAACAATATCACATGACACAAAGATGTTAAGAATTTATTTTTCCAACGACTCATTCTGTCTATTTACGAGATGTTGTTTATGTAAATAGAAGACGTTTTACATGAAGAAACACCTAAGCAAGCAGTGATATATTTTTAGGTTTACCATTAGAACGCACTCTTTGAGCAACTAAGAATGCAGTCTGGTCTGATAACACACAATCATTGCGACCTTGTCGCAATCCGTATTACAGTTCTCGCGAATCGCTTTCCTCACGCTACATAAACGCGCATAAACTTCGTGACTGAGAAAAGTTTTGCGGACACATTGTGTGTATATATGTATACGTATACGCGGTCTTAGGACAGCTATTTTGCATATAATGCAATTTCCACTCTCTCGTTTCCACATTCAACCGTGACATATCTTTCATGTATAGTAATCGGGCGCGACGATAGTTTGTCACGTTCTGATTACTTCAAACATATATCTCAACTCGCCTTGTTGTTTCAAGTACCTTTGCTTTTGTATACATTTTGTCGTCTCTTTTCTTCGGCATAGTTTTTATGTATTTCAACTCTTGTGGAACTATCTCGGTTTAACTTTTCTCACAGATACACTTGATTCTGTTTCATTTCCTCCCTCTATTTCTTTCAATTTCCCCGATTGTTAGAAACAATATCTTGATTGTCTTGTGACAAACGCGATCGCAAATAAAATAACTCGGCGAATTCTATCGCTTCAGTTTCCTCGAAATTGTTTCATTAATTTTTTTTTAACAAGATAATAATTCGAAGAAGTTCGAAAGTTTCGGGGAAGGAGGAAATAAAGTTGCTCTCTTCCAATCGTTATGTATTTGATCTAAATTGTTAATTGCATTTCATCTCGCTCTTCTCTCTCGAATCTTGTTTCTCCTCGCCTTTTACGTCTTCATTTTACCCGCGCATATATTATAACTCACACGGACCGCTATTGCTGCCCCCCCGTATCTCTGCTAAAAATACAACCTTCTCTCTTCTGACACACGGGCGCGGTGTGTTATCTCGTCGATTCTCACGTGCGTAAATCCAGCACTTCGCCGCAATAAAGCCACGTGCTATGTAGCCGCACTGAAATTAGAACTGTTTGACCACCTAAGCGAAGTTTTATCTTCGTTTATAAGCGATGGGTAAGTATATATGTCTTGAAAAATATTCGAACCGTAACGAGCGGCGCTCGATACGGTTTTTTTTCGATTAAAAATCCTTCGAATGAACATTTTTAAACAGCTCTTTCCAAGCTTCGAAACGTATATTTTATTCGTCGACAAATTATTCCTTTCCTATTTAATTAGAATTGAAATTCGAATTAAGTAAATAGAACACGTGCAGATGCATGCGCGATCCATTAAATTCTCAAACGTCTCTCTCCTCCGTGTGCACCTGTCGTATATATATAACTTTGTATCTATGTAGAGCTCTCCCGGAGTCTCTTGAAGCGACAACGATAGTGGCCTTCATTGTCCGCTTCCACGTATTTGTCCGACTGATGTTCTTAATAAACGAATGTAGGACATTTGGCGCTCGTTGCCGGCCAATACGGTCATCTGCGACTGTCAGGGTACAGCTTCGTCAAAAGGAAAAGACGTCGTTTCTCCTCCTACGGATGTTCCCGTCCGCGCGACGTTGTTGTCACCTAACTTTTCCGGATCCAGAGAGAGAGAGAGACATCCAGACGCATTGCGTCGGTGTCCTTGCCAGGAACGCCGCAATACCGTCTCACCGCGTCTGTCGTTGCGGACGGCCTCTTCATCTTGCTCTTCCCCTTCCTTTTCTCGACGGTTTTTTCTTTTCGACAAGTTTCCGCAAAGCACTCGCATAACTTCGGATAAATAAAAGTAATTAATTTATTGGGACGGACGAAAATTCGATAATGAAATAGTACGGAAGGCGATCTTTCTCACTTTCAGTTTTGGTAACTTCGAGTCGCGAAGAAAATCCTTCACGAGTGCTATCTAGAGAACTTTAACCAAAATCCTGGAATTAAGAGAAAAGTTTCTACTGTCTCTTTCTCTCTTTCTCTCTCTCTCTCTCTTTCTTTCTCACGAAGACTTGGAACTGTAAAATCTGATTTTGCTTCCCACGAATATCACTCAAGGAAGTTGATGAATATCTCTTGTAGAAAATTAACAGGATAAAGCAAGAGATAATTTGCAGAATTTTGTTATCTAAATATATCGCCGTTACTCTCTACATGTCGCAGTTTGCATAAAATTTCGTTTAATTCGCAACATCCGTTTTTTCACGAGTTCTCAAGAATTTGTGAGTATGCACACAAATGCGCGTCGTTCTCATCGTTCTTCTCGGTAAATCGGATTCTGTGCGATATATAAACCGTCAATAGTTTGACGTGGTGTGGCGGATGATTCACGTCTCAATTGTCGGCTCCGTTAAATCGAACGGCGGTCTTTATACGCCTGTCTGCGTCCGCGTCTTCTCTCGAATCGCGTTTGCGTAGGTGCAAATAATAGTATCGCCGCGGCGCATCTTGCGTCAGTTGCACATGGCGCCAATGCACGATCCAGAGGGATGAGATATTTCGAGTACGCGTAATCAAAACGCGGCACGAAACGCGCGTTTAATCGCGCGCCAACATTTGCGGACTTAGACGCTAGGAGATGTGGTGAAACTTCCGAATTGAAAAAGTCATGCACTTTCTATTTTTCTCTCTCTCTTCTTTGCACGAAAATTGTCTATCACTCGAAATAATTCACCTTACTGTTTCTCTGTTATCTTTTCTCTTCGCTTTGATATCAACGAATTGTTCGGTGATGTAATTTGAAAACAAAAGTGACGGGAATAATTTCGAATAATTGATAAAAATACGGGAAGCGAAATATAAGGAGTATTTTTTTTTTTCTTTAAGAAACACCCGACAACAGAAATTCATTTCCGAATCGTGCGCGCGAGAGCGCCGCATTTTGTATATCAGAGAGATCTATATTCGTCGTAACACGTCTAGAGGCCATCGGCTTTACACACGCGGCTCTGGTGCCACTGCCACTGGATTCTATTTGTGTCAAACAATATAAAGTAAGACACGTACGTGTCCGCGCAGAGTCTCGGTGCAGTTGCATAACCGGTGATATCCAACGTGCGGAAAGCGGGCGCGTCGATCCTCCGCGGAGGGATCACAAAACAGCCAGCGCGCCACCTTACACTTTAACGAAATTGAATTTGCGTCTGGGAATATACAAGGGATTATATGTGCTTTTATGCGGAATATATCAAGTCTCTCGGAAAATTGTATTCTTGATCTTCGGTATCTTTTCATGTTTCTTTGAATAGAAAATATCTTATTCGCACGAGTATAGAATTTTTATTACATAAATTTAGAATATTTTTATATAATTTTAGAATTCTCGTTGCATGCAGAAGTTTTTTTTATAACGACTGCGCGTAAGATTTGCATCGCAGATAAATCCGTTTCGGGAACGGTGTCGTTGACCGTTTAAAAATTAGATTTCGCTATAATTACGTGACGAAACTGATTCGACAAACGCGTCGCGACAGAAAACGTCCGACCGATATATATATCTCTCTCTCTTTCTCCATATAAATATAAAACGTCACGCGAGATCCCGAAGAATTTCGCAAATAATTAAAAAGTTGACTCGCGCGGAAAGTTGGGATGAGAACTTAATGGACGTTGATCACTTAGGCAAGCAAGAAGCTACCGGGTAGTCGTTTTGACGCGTGCCTCGCTTCGGATAAATCGCTAATGGAACCAGAAACCCGAGCTATCGACGATAATACAGCAGAAAGATGTGAAGGACCCGCAGGAATACGTTTAGTACTTCTTTTGGTGTCGCGTTTCCATCCGACAAATTTCTGCGTCGAATTTTAAAAAAATTCACGAGAGCGGAGTAGCGTGGATTATTATTATCGCTTCAATTTTATTTTCAGTATTAAATATTATTATAAAATATCACATTAATTTTAGTATAAAAGATGTGTGAAGAAAGCGCGAGAAATCTACCACTTGGTATTTAATCAATTTTAATCATCTTTTCGTCATTGGAACTTTTAATATTTGAAAGTGCGATGTCAACTTTAAACCAGCGAATTTCGAAACTCGCTCGGCGTGGCGACACGTTCTCGAGGAAATTGAATTTCGCTCGCGTATTATTGAAGTACATGTAAGACGGAAATTGCAACTGCTGATTTTTGCACGTAACTCATGCCAATTTTTTTTTTTTTTCATTTTTTTATAGCAATGCAGTAAGTATAGTAAGTTCTATGGAGAGAAAATGGTTTTCGGATGCTCATATTCAGATCAGCGTTCATTTGTTGTCGCAATTTCAGCCTATCTTTTCAAATCTCTCGTTGTGGCAAGAAATTTATTCGACTTGTACCGGATTTTCTCTTAAATCTTTTCTATCGAGCGGTGAGAAATTGTTTGCATACAAAATATAATCAGGTACATGTACAAATTTGCCGCGCAGTAACGTTTAAATTTATTGTACAATAATTTACTACATCATACATATTTATTTTCTGCACGTACGAGGTTATCAAGCTGAAATATAAAATTGGAGATAAATTATCATTATATAAAAATAATAACAAATGTGCGCGTTTAATAAGGAGCGATTAACGAATGCGCTCGTTCGAAAACTTCAGCCAAGATTTAAATATTAGTTTAGTGACAGTTTAATGCCTGAGCATACACAAACATATACGCGCGCGCGCGCGCACACACATACGCGCACACACATACGTCTTGGCACAACACGCTAAACAACCAGCTTGGATCTTCAGTAGCGATGATGAAACCAGGCTTATGACACGCTCGAATAAGCCAGTCGTAGTATTATAACAGTGTTTAATACGTATATGTACATCACATCGCTCTTGATTACAAATCTTTGTTGCCTGGTTTCAGAGTTTTTACTCTTTTTTTTTTTTTTTTTTCAAAACACAGCTCCTCTCTAAAAGTGCGTAGAGCACTTTCTCGTTGTTTCTCGATTTTACTTTATCTCGAATAGAAAACTAAAACAACGTGAAAGAAATCCCGAGCGCGAATTTATGGAGGCTCGCGAAACGTATAAAACTAATGATAAAGATCGTCAAAGAAGATTTAAGGCAGAGAGGATTATGGTTTCGGCGAATGTGTTTGTTATCAATAGACAGAAATCAAAGCATCATTAAAACTTCCTAACCGAAACACCTGTCGAACGTACAACCCACACACTCGCCGTTTCGTCGACGAGTTAGGGTGTATGGTTTTTTTTTTTCGATGGATTGTGTAAACGCGGAGCGGAGTTCCGGAAAAAAAAAAAAGAAATTAAATTAACCGGCAGCGCGAGAAATAATTAAAAGCATTGCACGTGCCGGCATGTAAATATCATTAATACTCTAATAATGTGGGATAATAACAATGTGATATGATAAATGTGTTCTCAACGAACTCTCTCTCTCTCTCTGTCTACCGTCTAATTTATTTTCATCGCCGCGCTTCCACGTGTATACGTTCTTGAATTACTGACGAAGTAATTTGTATCGTTTTACGATCTCGCTATCTCCTCGTCACTGATAAAATCACGGGCGCCGCTCTAAAACCGAAACAGACAATTACTACACGCGCACACAACAGAAATAAATAAAGAAAACGTGAGCGATAATTGCGTTTGTTCGCAACGATCTTTGAAGAATCCTATCGGACGCGATCAATCGCGTTGTCCTTCCTTCTTCTTCGTCTTCTCGACGAGTTACCGGTTTTTGAGCGCGATCCACCTGTCTTGCGGATCACAGACGCGCTCATTTGATATTTGCCATTGAGCTTCGCAACCTCAAGCTAATTCGGAACCGCGCGCGCCGGGCTCGAAAGCGAGTGTGCGCGTCAAGCGCGCGAATTTTTACGAAAGCGCGACGGGAAAACACCCGACCTGGGACGTCAGACGGTGCGAAAATTGGACGGAGAAAGACCGGCGACGAGGAAGCCGGTCGGGGGGCGCGCGCGTGAGGAAAAGAGGGAGCGAAGAGAGTCTCTTGTGTCCGACGACGCGCGCAGGCGCCGCATCCCGAAGCGCGGAGAGAAATGCTCGTCGTCCGCGTGGCGCGAGTTAGAACTTGACTTGGCGCTTTTAGTCTTGGCCCGTCCCTTCGTCCATTCTCGTCCTTGCCGGACACCAGCAACCAACCCCCGGCGGCGGCGAAAACCTTCCGTGCGCAAAGGGGAACTATGGACCGGTTGCAAGACGAGAAGCGCAGTGACGAGGGAGATTCCGCCTGATCCACCGGCGATGAGACCCACGCGTTGCACCCACGTGCCTTTCGCAAATCTTTACGCGACGACGTGAGAGTTTATCGACGTCAAAGTTGAAAATAATTATTTAACGGAATCCTTGGAAAAAATTTTTCATCTTTCGCATTCATTATCGCGTGTCGTCGCGGAGAAGAAAAAGAAACGTCGAAAAAATTGTACATAGCAAGCAAGAAAAACACAACAACTCTCTTTTCTTCAAAATACATCATATCCCACGTCGGAGGAAGAAATCCGAAGAGTGTGCCGATCGGATATCGAGCGCCGATCGAATGCAAACCGCATTATCGCGCGGGACATGTCGCAGGAGATTCGACCGATTCGTCGGGAGACGAACGATAGTCGCAACTCGAAGAGGAGCAATCGCGCTCAGCGCCGATGGCGCATTCTGGCCAGGGCGCTGACTCGCTCGCCGGAACCGATCGGCGGCAGCGAGTCTGACGAGGAGGTGTCGGTGAGACGGTTCACCAGCTTCGGTCTGCTCAGTTGCTCGCTGCTGAAGAACGCGCTGGCGGACGGCGAGTCCAGTTGGTGCGAATACTCGACCTGGATGGACGATCGGTTGTACAACGTGCAGATACGACGGATAAACAAGTGCTTCACGGCGAGCGAGCTCATCGGCTTCAACAACACCGGCAACGTGTGCGTGTGGCCGTCCGAAGAGTGTTTGGCGTATTATCTGCTGCGGAATCGCGGCCTCTGCCGGAATCGGAACGTCCTTGAACTCGGTGGCGGCATGAGCTGTTTGGCCGGCGTGCTCGCCGCGAAGTACTGCGATCCCAGCTTGGTCACGCTCACGGACGGCAACGTGACCAGCGTCGACAACGTGCGTTGCATCGTCGCCAGGAACGGGATGACGCATCTGGTGGAGTGCGGGGTCTTGCAGTGGGCCCGAGCGGCCAGGGCCCTGCGACAGGCGGCTGCGGTCAACGGCAATCGCGTTAAGGTGAACGTTCAAATAATTTTGGACCAACAAACCCGATCGTTTCGAGAGAAAAAAGCGATCGATAGTCCGAAGTTAACTGTGTTTATAACCGTTTGCAATTTGACCGGCGCGATTAAAATAGCGCGTCTCGGGGTCGGCGAACAGACGAGGATTAAATAATAATCGCATTTAGGAGAATCATTAAATCTCGATGTAGAAGAGACACTCGATAAATCAAAGTTGTTTCTTGATCGGGCACCGCCAAGTTTATCCGTCTCTCTCTTTTTTTTTTTTTGATTGAACTTGACGCGCGTGTTCTTTTTTTTCCTTCCCGAATTGCATCGCACAAAAATGTATTAGTTTGAAGTTGTTCATTTCTTTCGTTTAGCAGAAAAGCGTGTTTCTGTAAACTGTTTTTTCAATAAGCCATATTTTTCGTCAGATTTCTGAGAACGAACATCCGCGCGTATAATAAAAATACATGAGAGAAAAATGCATATTTTCAAAGCAACGTCGAAGTAGTATTGAAGCATGACAGAAATGCTTCTTTGATGACACGCGGTCACAAAGAGAAGCCGGAAATTAAATATTGAAAATCTAATGAAGGGACAGAACACACACACACACACACACACACTCGCACATTTTTAGCTTTTAGATTATGCAAGTCTGTGTTCGCGCGCTCATATGTTAAATAAAAAAAATCAGATTCTACGCGTCCTACATTTTATATATAAACTTTAATATTGCGTGCACGTATATTTCATTGTCATGTGCGAATTCTGGAAATTCGTTATTATAAAACTGCAGAAATCACGACGAGACGTTTGTTTTGATGTGAGTTTCGAGAGTTCGCGAAAATTGAAGAATCACACAGGCTTTTTGTACTTCTCTAATCGCGGCGCGGAATTCCGTCTTGGTCGCCGACCCCGTGGCCGAATGATGTGTCCCGTAAAACTGACGACTCCTCGACGTGATCTGCATCATGAAACGAGGACTCGCCAACCAGTAATCGTCGACGGACCACCGGGCATCGACACGCCTGGTTTCGCGATCGCATATCCTGACGGCGCGGTGCCGTTGCCTCGTCGCTACGATCAATGAGTCATCGCGGTCATTGCGAGTCGATGAATAGAAAAATTGAGGCCTTGCCGAGGAGAGCTACCGGGGATTCTCTATGGTGAAGACTCGATGAGAAAGATCGATCGCGAGAAATTCGCGCCGACAAAAGAACGTCTTTTCAAAAACACTTTTTTTTTAATGTCAGATAATATTTGAAGATAAGAAAAAAGAGGACTCTGGGCAAATGATAATAAAAATCAACTGTAATGAAAAAATTGCTTTGCTCACATATTTCTTATGATACGCACGTATACAATGTGAAATATTGTACTGCATAAAAAAAAAGTTTTTTTGTTTCTTTTATCTAGCACGTGTCACATAATAGAGTCACGTAACAAAAAACAGATGTTGTCGCGATAAGTTTCGAAATATGATATCATAATATGGGTGTCACATTTTTATATTTATTTTTTAAAAATATTCGAGAAAATATTTCTGTCACCGTGAAAGAAAAATCACGCGCTTTTTAAGCTACTGTCAGTTTTTCCGAGACATTTTAGATGAAATTTTCTCTTTATTGATATTTTTTAAATGATAGTTTAATATGTAGAAAATTTTTATAGATTTTATCTGCGCCACGGGGGATTTGGCTAGCAGCGGAATCAAATATTTAGGTGCTAATTAAAGTTTTGATACTTCATTAGTTTTAATTCTCTCATTTAACGCGAAAACATTTATGAAGCTGTTTCGTCGCAAAGAATTCTTTCACGTGTCGGATGTTGTACGGAAAGCATTGAAAAACAAGCGATCGAAAAGTTTATAATTTCACGCGCTCTCGTCTCTCGATGTACAAAAGAAATCAGAGAACGAATACACACGTGTAGAATCCCCGCGTAATCATTGTGATTCCCGGCTCAGATATACAGACGCACACCATTCGGACACTTCCGGCTAAACTTCAGCTCCATTTCCGGTAGCCTCTATGTGTTCTTCCGGTGGCTCGCAATGTTCCGCGCAATTGACATTTTTTTTTCATTGACAATTTTCGCTTTGTTCGAGACCCCGATTGAAAGAAGTTTCACGAGACACAATCCCTTTTTCTTTTTTTTTTTTTTTTAAATTTTCGTCTAAATTTTCCTAACAAGTTTGAAGAGATATTGGAGACTACGTGAAAAATTGCACGATTTAAAAGTTCGAGGTTGTTTCATTCATTAAAAAATTTATCCTTTATCCGCTACAATAGACGGTTATGTAAGTTCGACTTGAGAGAGCCTCTCTCTCTCTCCCTCTATACATTTGCACGAAAAAAGTTTCGGACTCGAATTTACGAATTATTCGGAACTTCTCTCATAACTTTTCAAACGCGCGCAAGTGAATCTTGTTCTTCGGACGTTATTCGATTTTATAAATCAGGGTTTTCTCTCGCGAATATATATTTGCGTTAATCGGTGCTGAAATCTGGACTCTCTCGATTCCCTTCGATACAGACTCGACTTGCGGATAACGACGACGACGACGACGACGACGATGATGACGACGAGGACGAACTACTGCCGTCGATTCTCTACGACGTGATCCTCAGCGCGGACTGCCTCTTCTTCGACGACGTCCGGCTGGATCTGGTGGAAACGATTTACGGCTGGCTCGCCGACGACGGAGTGGCCCTGGTGATGGCGCCCAGGCGCGGCACGACATTCCAAAAATTCGCCGAAGCGTCGGTCAAACGCGGCTTCGTCGCGCGACAAACGGAGCAGTACGACGACGTGGTGTGGTCGAGACACTTGGAGCTGCTGCGAAACAATCTGGAGTACTGTCCGGATCTGCATTATCCGGTGTTGCTGGAACTGACCAAGCAGAAGAAGACGCCGCCCGGATGACCGAGCTCGGTCGACGACGACGACAGTCCCAGTGAAGAATAACGACACGTTTCGCGACGACCAAATGTTTTTTTAACGTCTACTTTGTGTGTCTGTATAAACGCATAAAAAAAAAAAAAAAAAAAAAAGAAAAAAGAAAAACAATTACACGTTAGAGAGAGAGAGAGAGAGAGATAAATATATTTTTTTCAAGAAACGTGCGTTCACCGCACGTGTATGTGAGATGTGAATGATAAGACGTAGGTGTAATAATAAGACTATACTCCCATGTTGTGTCTGACAAGTGTCAAGGTTGGGTTTTTATTAGTGCGTGATCTGATGAAACTGTTTAGCGCCCACATGCGCGAATCGATCTTCCGCTCGTACGCATCGTTCCACATCGTCGCTTTTATCGGAAAAATTCCGTAAGGAAGTCGTGTTTTCGCGTCGTGCGCGCGCGACGTACGAGCGATTCTCGCTTTTCCACGCGGTTGAACGCGGGGATTTCGACTTTATTTTTTTTTTTTTTTTTTTCTGTTTCGTTACCTTAATCCGCGCGTGGATAACGTGTTCTCGCGGATAAACGCGTACGTGTTTGAAAATGTGTTTGATATATTTGCGCTTTCGTCAGTCTCTCGTGTTTAGTTCGAATTAAATTACGCACAGTTAACGTGAGAACGCGTGCCGCACGCGTTTCAAGCACGTTTTGCGACGCCAAGTAACAGACGCGGGCTGATGCAACGAAGCTGTAAATCCTACGCTTTAAATTAATCCGATGTATGATATGTATGTGCGAGCGAAGATAGACCGCAAGAGTTGTATTGTTCTCACTCGCGGCAGGTGAGACTGCGTGCTGTGGCACTGTTTCGCAACACAATTTTCAATTGTCAGATAACAGAGAAGATGAAAAATGTCAATATACAGAGACAAGTGTGTAATAAAAAAACTTTTCGAAACATTGTTCCAGTAAGATTAAAAAAAAAACATTTTAAACATCCCTCGCGTACTTTGCGTACCGGGGGAACAAATTTCGAATAATAATATTTTTGCGAAACGTGCGACTTCGATTTAAAGCGGTCGCGAAGATTGATGCCGGCGATTTGACATTTATCGCCGCATTTAAATCGACGGCATTAGTCTTCCAAGAGAAAATAAATTTATGAATTACTGGTTATTTTCCAAGAGATAAATCGATATCCATTTCCCATCGATCACATTCTTCATTCGATCGGGTAAAAAAAATCGGGTGTGCTTCTCGTAGCAGTCAGAATTTTTCTTAGGAGACGTGTACGTATCTATGTATCCGAACGGATGGAAAAAAAACAAAGACGATCGAGTTTCGCGCAATAGAGTGTCTTGGCGACAGTGGCTTAACGCGATGCCGGCGTTAAAATGTTATCGATCTTTGATTGAGACGCGAAGTGGACGGCCTGAGATGTATCTTTTATCTTAGAGTTCTTTCTTCGTTCTCTCGCCAGAACCAATCTTAAAACGATCGAATAGCGTTTGAATATATAGCTCCCCGTTATCCACAACCTGCGAGCTCTGTGCGTCGCGAAATTGGATTAAAAATCATCTCCACGCAGAGTATTTTTGGATACAACAACAACAACAACAACAACAACAGAGAGTTATCAATGTTATCAATTAATTGTTAACTATTAAGGGTCCAAAGTGATGTGAAGGTCGCGCGAACAATTGTCGATTTGGCGAATTCGCTGAATCCGATGATTAATTAGTAAAATATTATTACGCTTGTTATTACATTAGGTAACATAGATGTAAATCGTTACGAGATAAGATCATTGCAAGATGTAACTTTAGGAGGCTATGCCGCACAGTTAGCCGACGGAACACGAATTTTTTTTTGTGTGTGTAACAATTCGTTAAATAATGTGAAACTGTAAGTAAGCAAAGCGTTTCGAAAGATATTCGAACGTCAATGTAACAAAAAAAAAAAAAAAAAAACAAACAAAAGAGATTGACAACAAAGTCGTTGCACTAAAAATGCACAGAGAACACATACTGATGTAAACTTTAGAAAGTAATTCAGAACAGAAGTCGATTTTGCCTTCGTATCTGTGCACGTATTGATCTAATGATTTATTCACGTATTTATTCGTATGAAGGATTTGTAAATCTCGTGACAAAAAACAAAAAAAAAAAAAAGAAAATCTCGCATATATATATATATTTCTTAAACATCGCGTTCTGAACCCGTTACCTCAAAGGACCAATCTAAGCTATGTTATAAGTCTAGTCAGAACTATACCAAACTTCCACTATTTATACATCTCCTTACGTAGGTCAAGCGTTCGTAAAATCTCTCCACCTCCGTGTCTTAGGAACAAAACAATTAAAAAAAAAAAAAAACGCGGCAGTCGATTTCGTTGTAAAAACCGATCAATTCTCATCCGATTGTTTTCTCGTCTCGCGAGAAAAACAATTACGACACGAGCCAGCTGTAGCGAATATTTTCTCGAAACGTTCATCCAACGTGGGGGTGAGAGAATTTATGGACTCTTTGTAGCCCTAGAGAGCAACTTGTGTATATTTACGTGCGTTTTATGCACGGAAGAATCTCCGCAGTAATAAAACTATTTTCACTTACAACTGGTATCGCGTGTTGTATTGTGTTTTCCTTCTTGCGCGCGCGTTTCGAATTTTGAATAAATTATATTAAGTTCGTCACGTATTCGCGCGCATCGCGTGACGATAAAAAAAAAAAAAAAAACGCCCATTGACAAATCTACGGCGACGTTACTGCGTCAGAATGAATAATAACTATTTATTTAACGTTCGTCAAACATCCTGTCTTTCTCTGCCCGAGAGATAGTTATATTTGTCCGCCTCGATTCTGTCTATGTGATCCACCGCGCGCGCGCGCGCATGTGTGTGTGTGTGTGTGTGTGTGTGTGTGTTAAATATCCGTCTCTCCCTCTTTTTCTGCACATTTGCCAAGTCCTGACGTAATCGTCGCGGGGACCCACTGTCGGAAATTTTTAGTGTCAAAAGTTAGATCGAGAATAAAGTGTCTTTCTGAAGAAGTTTTAAAAGGCATTCGAATTTTCAGCCCAGTTCTAGTCTTATCTTTCAAGTTGACAATTTAGCACGTTCTATGTTGCAACTTACGTAACGTGGTTTGGTATTCCATTCCAGAATGAGGCAAAATTTCCAATAATAGATCGCCGGTCTCAAGAATCACCCGGTCGACACTTCAAACAGTTACAAACGAATTTTCTCGTACGCCGGAATATTAATTGTTCGGATGTTGAAACGACGTTTGTTTCGACGTTCGTTTTGTTTTGATTTACAATCGAAGCGCGCGAAAAGCCCCATTATCGATCACTCGTTTCGGGGGTTTTCGGATTAAAACAAAAATCTCGAGGCGAACGCGAAGCAACAACGCGAAATCGATCGAGAAACGCTTCGCCTCTGGATTTGAGTAACGAGAACTTGTGCAAAAAAGAAGAAAAAAAAAAAAAAAAAGAAAATGCACAGCCGTGCGTTTTCTTCTTCATTTCGCCGACAAGTACAACAGATTTCCGAGACCTCAATTTGCTTCGAAGGTTACATCCGCGATTGTTGGAATCTAAAAATGAAAGTCCCTGATAGACGGTCGCGATTAGCATCTGCGTTCCGTGACGAATGATACAAACAAATTGCCTTAGAAAGGCAAAATCAATCTCGCTAACATCCTCCCGTGAGCATAAATAAAATTCTACGTCGGTTTATTTTATTATATCCGACGATGTGTATAATTTCGGTTTCGACTCTGTCGGATGTTGTTTCGTGCGATGCGAGGTTGCAAATTCGGTCGCATCCGAAATAATCGTCAACGGAGAGATCGAAGGACGAAATTACACGACGAAAAAAATCATCTCTCGTTGATCGCTTTACATCGACGGTAACAGTTATTCTGCGAGCAAGCTGTACAAAGATAAACAAACCGATGCGTGAAGATATTTCTGAATGAGACTTAAACGCGCGCGTTGCCCGCCGCAACGTTTTCTCAGTCTGTAATTATAATCAAATACGAGCGATCTCAACGTCACAATTTTAATTTAAACAAGTTTGAATGTTAGATTGTGTCTGAAAGACGCTCTCACAGACTTTTTGCGCAATTCAAAGAGCCAACGTGCGATACGTTCGATGAGAGCGAAATTGCGCGCGTGGGTTTTAAAGCTTGGAAATCAAACGCACGTACATTTATATTTTTAGAAGACCGTTTCAAAGTTTACCTGTTACTTAAACCTCTCTCATTATCTTTACTATCGTTGCGGAGCTATTATTAAAAGAGAACGCGTCACCGATTCGTTCATATAATTAGATACTTTCCTCGTGGCGGCCTCATTAAAATCGGTGTAACCCTTAAGCGTGTGCGTGCGTATGGGCTGGTGGTGATCGATCGCGGTAAAGTAAGTTTCCGTCGCGCGTCTCTGCGAAATGCGGCTTCCAAACGCGGCCGTCGTCGTCGCGGCTTGGCGGGGAATGAATTTTTAGCCCGACTCGATCTCGAAACTCTAAAGTACATAAGTACTCGGCGCGCATAAGTGCGTCTCGTTTGCCTCCCTCATCGTAACAAAGGAAATAGCTGATCGGGATCGAACTTTTGAAGAGACGTTTCGAGCGTCCTACCTACCGGCCGCGACGAAGCTTCTCTCGGCAACGAATTAATCGCACGGTCAATCTCAGCTGACGTCTGCTGTATTCAAAACCCCCAGTCCGGGCGAGCGATTTAATCTTCAATTAAAACGGAACGAACATAACTCCAATCCGTCACGTTATTACCGCACGCGGTAATAATAATTCGCAACGCGCAAAAAAAAAACGTTTCTGTTAAACGCGGGCGATAAAAACCTCGCGCGATAAAAATTTATTTAGTTCGAATCGTTCGTGAAAAATTGGGTATGACGCACGATTGCGATAACGCAACATCTTTTGTTGTCTGTTCTACTTTTTTTTTTTTTTTTTTTTTTTTTTTTTTTTTTT